TAGGGGGTAAAAGTACTTTAAACTGTATAAATTCAATTGAATAAAATTGGCCAATCACGAGAAAGTTAGCCTATATAATCCCGTATGATTCAAATCTTAAGAAAAACCCCTATAGTAAACAATCGAAACATACTCATATCTCATGATTTACCCAGCCGATTTTAATGATTTTACCACCATTAGAATCAGAAAATTTCGTTCTACTATATAACTTTTATTAGAAGACTTACATAATAAAAAATATCTTTAGATGTAATCTGGCCAGATTCCTGTACTATAGAAAAAAACATGAATTTCCGATTTTGTTTATTATAAGATTTGCTATTTTTTTACCCCTTCAAAGGCGAACTATTAAATTTTTTTATATGTAGTAAAAATTTTTATGATTTGCACGCAATAGAAAAATCGCTTTCTTTAGTTTTTAATTCTTCCCGTAATGTCTAACATTTTTTAATTCTGTAAACACAAAATATTTAATTAAAGGAGTCTTTTACACAGTAACAACGTTAGAATTTATCTTACTATGGTACTGGAAATCTATAATCGTTAATTTTTTAATTTGTTTATGATCGTGCTGCATCGGAAATAGAAAAAAATTTCTTAAAAAATTAACTGATAAGTTCGTACATAAAACCGAACACTACAAATTTACTAGTTTTTTTTTGAAAAATACATCTATAGAGAGTTATAGCGAGTTGAAGATTGGGGCTTTTTTTTTTTTTTGAATCGCTATAACTTTTTAGATTTTTTTTTCAAAAAAACTGATCAGTAACTTTGTAGTGCTCAGTTCTATGTATAAAATTATCGGTCAATTTTCTAATTTTTTTTCTAAAGGTTTAGCGATTTAAAAAAATGTTATATAGAGGTAATATAGTAGTGATATAGAGGTGTGAGCACAATGGCATAATTGGTTATAATTATAATGGATAACAGCATTTTTTTTGCCGTAATTCATTATTATAATATGAAAGGATGAAATCCGCAAAAAAAAAAAAAAAAAAAATACTATAGGGGCTTTGAGTAGAAAGGGCCTAAATGCTATATATAATATATATAGCATTTTACTGCAAAGACCCTATATAGAGGTGTGAGCGCAATACCGTAATTGGTCGTAATTATGCGTAATGAATTACGGTATTTTTTGTCGTAATTCATTATAATATGAAAGGGTGAAATCCGATAACTTTAATTAGGTTTAGTTACTATTTTAGGTGGGATTTGCATCAATAGTGGGCTTCACCCTGTCGAATTATAATTACAACCAATTACGGCAACCTCTAATGCTGCATTTATGGCGCAGTACGATCATATGAAAATCAAAACATTTCCTATGATTGTCGATTATATATGCCTGGTATATATCATAGTAAGATAAAATTCTAACATTGTTACTATGTTGTGTTTATATAATTAAAAAATGGTAGATTTTCCTATAATCTTTAATATGTATATATCAAATTTTACCATATAAGAATTGATTAACAGTTAATAATTGTTATCATACGTACCATCTGCACTATGTTTGTAATTAGATTTACGTATGTACAGTACATACGTGATACCCCCAATCTTTCATGGCATCCGGCGCTCTGCCAAGATTACACCATAACACCATAACACAAAAATGCAAACTTTTTTGGTCACCACCTTAAAATATTACGTAAAACAAATGTAAATCATTTCCAAATATTTAATGATTTTTATCCATGCATTCGTTATAAATATCAACAAATATCGACATTGTGTAAAAAAAAAAAAAAAAAATTTTTTCACAAAATGGATCCTTTCATAATTTCAAGTTCTATACCAGATGTAGCATTCATTTCTTCCCCTGAAACTATTCTTGATGTAAGGTCATCATCAAATACAAGTTTACCTATAAGAACTCAAACACCTATTTCTGAACATCCGACACCTGTAGCACAATCGAGTGCACTTCATGGATCAGAATCAACATTATCACTCCGAGCATCAGCATGCCCAGTAAATACAGAACCACCTCCATATGTCGCAGATTATTATACAGCACGAGATCCTCTATCTTTAGGACCAAAACGAAAATCAGAAGATGAAATCAAAAAGAGTAGTAAAAAAATTCAAGCATTTTATCGTGATCAAAATGAACTTATTGATGAATTGTTAAGTCCGATTGATAATAAGCGACCAATTGAAGAATTGAAAAATAACTTGTTAAGAGTAATTATTATTATATTATATTATTATTAACATTATATTATTATATTATTATTAACATTATATTATTAACATTATATTATTATATTATTATTAACATTATATTATTATATTATTATTAACATTATATTATTATATTA